GTAGTGACCCTGAAGGGATGTTGTGAGGGTTAAATTAGACAGTAAGTATAAAACTGTCTGCAAGCGCCTAGTATATTAACTTCCTTGCTTTCTTGAATGATACCAACTGGCTCTCCCTATAGTGCTATCTGAAGTGTAACTGGAAGTTTTCTTAAACCCTACTTAAGTTCCTGTCCCATTACCTAGGAACAACCCCAGGAATCTTTAGTGCCAGTTACACGTACCTGTAGTTCTACTGTTCAACAGGAGCTGGAGTGTTCAAACAGCCACTTTCCTCTACATAAACAATTATAAATATTCCTGCCAGAACCTTACCTGGTCTGAGATTATATAAATAGATCCTAATGACTGGAGATTTCAAATCCTTTTACAATGAAAATCCCTGTAAAAAAGTTCTTCTAAGCCCTAGTCAGTAACTAATTTATTGGATCAATATTAGACTAAAAAACTAAATTATTTTACATTAGTAGTAGTAAATACCTTTAGAAAATTCAATTCTATATTATATACCTTTCCAGAAGCTATTCAAATAGCCCAAACTAATACTTGCTTTCCTCACTATAATACTAAATATATCTATATATATTTAAATTCTGTATATGTATTCATATTCTAGGGTAACAGATAACCAAGTGGCCTATACGCATCTTATTTGCTAAAATTATTCTATTTGAATAACAATATGTTAATTATGACTTTTAAATTTATGAATACTTTTTCATTCTGAATCTTAGTCCTTCAAAGAAATAATTCATAATAACTTTTTGTGATTACAGGAAGATACACGTTCATTGTAAAAATTCAAACACTACAGAAATACTAAAGGTAGAAAATATAATTCCCCTAATCTTACAGCCTCTTGTCGCCTGGATAACCACCAATAACAATTTGGTATACGTTCCTATAGATTTTCTTTTCTTTGCATATAATTTAGGCAAGTTTTCACAAGGATTACGGTTTGGGGGAGTGAAAAAGGAAGCAGTATGAGGGAAATTATTTTGTAAACACTCTTGCTAATGCTAAAAACATGCTTAAATGCAAAGGCAGAATACATAGCTGCATATATTGTATAATCCAGTTTTGTCTATAAACAAATATCAAAAAATAACATTAGCCTCCAGGGAAATACAGAGCAAAGGCACAACCAGATACTACTTCTCACACACTAGAATGGCTATAGTCAAAAAGACACAACTAGTGTTGTTAAGAATGTGGAGAAATCAGAACCCTCACACACTGCTGGTAAGAATATAAATGGTATAGCCCTTTGGAAATAATTTGGCAATTCCTCAAAATGTTAAACATAGAGTTACTGTATATGACCCATCAATTCCATTCCGAGGTACCTCCAAGAGAAAGTAAGACGCACACATCCACAAATATCCATAAAATGGAATATTTGATAATAAAAAGGAATGAAGCACTGATACATGCTACAACATGGATGAATACTGAAAACATTGTTACATGAAAGAAACCAGTGACAAAAGAGCCACATACTCTGTGATTCCATTTATATGAAATGTCCAGAAGTAAATCTATAGAGACAGAAAGTGGATTAATAGTTGCTTAGGGCTCAGAAGTTGGGGGAAAATGAGGAGTGACTATTAATGAGCACGGAGTTTTTTCATGGAGTGATAAAAATGTTCTAAAATTGATTGTGGTGATGCTTGCACAACTCTGTAAATACACTAAAAACTACTGAATTGTACATTTTAGGTGAACTGTGTGACGTGTGAATATTATTTCAGTAAAACTGTTAGAAAATAATAACATTTGTCATTTCTGGATGATGAACAACTAGTCATCTTTATTTTTTTAATTTACATCTTTTTGTAATTTCCAAATTTTTGGTAATGACTAAGACTATTATTTTTTAAATCAAAGGGAAAATTATTTTTCAAAGTGCTCCTTGTGAGAAATACAGTGATATTATACTGGGGATTGAGATGGAATTGCCACTTGAATTCATTTAGTTATTCATTCATTCAATATCTACCATGTGTTCCAGGAGTCATCCCAGCATGAGAAAAGTGCTAACTCCAAATCAATAAATTACATCAATTTAACACAGACAAGACTCCTCTGTTGACTTCAAAAGATCAATTATACATCATACCACCACTGACTTAACTGCTTTAATTCTGCACCAAAGGTTTTATTTAACTATGCAAGAAGTATCAGGAAATTCTCTCTTCATTAAAATAATCTGTTTCCAAATTTTAAAACTCCTTTTAATATTAAAAAAACAATGCAACATTTCATAGTTTGATAGCAGAAAAGGTATACCAACAATTCAATTAGCAACAAGGGGTAATAACTCAAAAACAATGAGAATCATTTAAGATGCTTTATTGGCTATCAGGTCGATCATAACAAGAATCTTAATGTAAACTGTTACCAAGATTAAAACAAAGTCAAAAGAATTCCTCAGCAATAGTCTGTCCTGAAGTTGAAAAGACCATAGGATGAAAGCATAGACGAGGAGGAATAAGAAGTATATACTATTTTTGTTATTTCAGCTACCTGTACCTATCACCTATCCACTGAAAATTAAATACTCAATCAGAATCTGCAAGGATCGTACCATGAAAAGGTTTTGGGGGAAGTGGCTGGCCTCATCTAACTTCTTGATTAGGAGAGTGAAACAAGGCATCTATATTTTGAAAAACTTCACTGGCTATACTGAAGTGCAACCAGGCTTAAAAATCACTATATGAAACAATACTCCTCAAAGGAAACAAGGGAAAGAAAAATCAGTTCCATGATTTAAAAATTAGAGTCAATGTAGCAAATACACTGAAGGGTGAAAAACTTGAGAGCAAGGAGACAACAGTACTAATCATAGTAATCATACTCCAAAAGTCTGGTGGAGGCATGTTGGCTTGCCCCAGGGAAGCAGAAAGCAGAATGGATCAAGTCAAGCCCAAGCAGAAGCTACAGGACCTAATCACCAAATAGCTGTGGGAAATGAAGGAGAAACAAAAGGCAAAAGTGACTCCACGGTCTCAAACAGTAACCAGATGGCCAGGGATACCATTAACCAATGAAGGGAAGACAAAAAAGAGATGCTGGTTTGAAAGCTAAAGAGTAACCAGAGAAAAGGTTCAAGAGGCTTTAAGGTTTTGTAATGTTGTATTTGTCATGTTCTACTAAAGTGGGATTTTGAGTACATCCACTATAATACTTTGTAATGTCCTACTAAAGTTGGATACTGAGTACATAGGGGTTTGTTTTATTATTGTTTTTAAAATTGAGCATACAAATATCACAAAATTCAGGTAGAAACAAGGAGTCAAAACTCCTATGCATGATATACATAATAATGAAAAAAGTGGAAAAAAGGGAAGCGTAGGTAGTAAATTTGGTTTGGGACCTATTGAAACTAAAGAACTCTATCATTCATGAGACAGAAGTTACAGGGGAAAAAAGAGAAATTAGAGAAGTTTGGAAATGGTTAGCGTACAAAGATAATGCCATGGAAGCCAAGGATGTAGATGAGAATTCTCAAGGACAGCCTGTGAAAGACCATGGGATGGCGAAGAGCCAACAAAAGGAGTCAACTAAAACAGAATAATTAAAATGGATAAAAGCCCTTACCAATTCCTTTCCCTCTCCAAAGGCATACAGAAGAAAATAAATTAAAAAAAAAAAAAAAGCTACCATTTATCTCACTAAATTCCAGTGGCGGGTCCAGAATTTCCAGTTAGGTGGAGTTAGAGGAATAAACTGTTTGAAAGAGGGCCTGAAGACGCTTTTATCAAATTAGAAAATATTAACTGACCACATGAAAACACTAAGAGAAAGAGTTTTGAGGGAAATAATTCCTCTCCCCTTTGGCACCAACACTGCTATATTCTAGGCATTGCATGAAACAGGTCATCTAATCTTTCATCCCCATAATAAGCTTATTAGATAGATGAGAAAACTGAGGCTGGACTGGAATAGCAACTTGCTCAGGGTTACAGATCTTCCAAGGAGTTCTCTCATCTGCATTCCCAGAGCTCTCATAGCTCTTTATACCTTCCTAGAGTTTCTCATTATGCATCTTGCTTTAACGTGCACTTATGTGCCTCTCTCTCACTGTACTGTTAGCTCCCCAATGACAGGGTTTGTGTCATTCACTTCTGTATCCCTACAGATAGGAATAAGTAAATATTCTGTTGAATTAAGCATATGAAAGAACTTGGTGAGAATAGCATCAAGGAAGCCAACAGGGGAAAGAGTTTTTAGAAATGGTCAACAGTGGCAAATGTACAGAGAGAGCCATCAGTATATCCGAATTCATCATTGGCATTGAACTGATATCTCTTATTCATTTATTGAACGCCTACTATACGCAGGACAATGTGTTAAGCACAACGAACACGGAAAAGTAAAATCTGGTACAGACCAAAGGGTTTTCGGAGAAGTAGACACATCTAAATTCTTGATCGGGAGACCAAAGCAGAGTTGGGCCTGTAATTGCCTACACCTTATTTGGCTAGGGTAAATCTGAAAACAACTTAAAAGGGTCACAGTGCATCTTTTAATAAAACTTCTGATGGGGCACACGAGATGAAAAAGGGCCAGTGCACCTCAGTCTCGGTGACGAGAAGCCGGTGGCCAGGGAAGCCGACTCCCTTCGGAGTCTCTGGCCCCCAAGCAGAGCTGAGGCTGCCCCTAGCTGCCAGTCCGTGGTCGGGGGCGGGAAAAAGCAAGATACTTACCGCAAAAAGCACCGCTACCGCTGTGGCCCGAAGGGGCCGGGGATTCTTTCGCGAGGCCCCCGCGCCGTGGGAGGAAACCAAGGAAAGCAGGGATCAGACAGACAGGTGCGACCCCACAGCCCGACTTCCCAAACTATACAAACTAGGGCTCCAGCGCCCAGCACCGCGACGCCAACTCCCACCAGCTGGAAGACCGACAATTGCCACCGAACCTTCCGCCCAATGAGGAAACGTCACCACTCAGCGAAGTCCAGCCTTTCATGAAAAGGATACACTTCCGCTTCCGGGGTACCTGCCGCATTCTTTCAGTGCTTTAACTGCAAAGGTTTATTAAGATGTTCCTTTGCTTCGACTGGCTTTTTGACATTCCGTTTTCTATCTCTCGATCACTGCGACAGCCAAGTGGCAAGATAGGACGCCCTCTAGGGATGTGATCTCAGGAAAGAATTCCGGCCTCGATAAGTTACTTTAAGAAAAAGTGGCTAGTCTGTGCACTGCCAGCTAAGAGGGTAGTGGTGAGAGATGGAGGTGCGATTAGAGAGTAGGGATTCCTCCCCAGGCGCGCGTTGAGAACTCCCAAAAGGGGCGGGGCTTAGGGATTTCGCAGCCCGGGGAGGTGGGTTCCTCGGTGTCGGATCTGGCGTGGAGACCCGTCTCTGCCTGCGCGTGCGCAATGCGAACCTTCCCTTGTGCTGTTTTCTTTCAGCATGGAATTCCGCTCAGCGCGGCGAGCAATCCTACAGCTGCTGCGTACGGTGACTCCCGCGGACCTCCCAGCGCTGCTCGAGTGGATGCGAACAACCCGTAAGCGACCAGAGCCAGACGCAAGTGGTTGGGGCAAGGATATGCTATGGGCGCTGACCTTTGGGACTTAAGACAGGGTGAGGCTGAAAGCCTCCTAGGGGTCGCTGTGCTGGTCCCCGCTCGAGTATAGGACAGATTGGCGGGGGCACACCTCAAACTTCAGCAGCTTGAGTCCAGTTTGAGATTGGGTGCAGGAAGACCTGGCTCTCGGTTGTTTGTGATTGCGCTGCAGACTTCACACAAGCCACTAGAGGCTCCTTGTGCCTAACCCTTTTCAGAAGGACAAGAAAGGGAGGGGGATTTTGCCCCTCTTCTCTCCCCCCATTACTCCCACAAACTTGTGACTACCAGTTAAGATACTACCTGAAAAAGCACTTCGCAAAAGAGTTTCAGGCAGTGGAGCAGGAAGCTTTTACCCTGCAAGCAAAATCACCTGTAGCTAGTGCATTTATTTTCTCAGTTGTAAAGTGGACCATCAATTTGATAGCAGTTTTTCCGGGGTGAGGGAAAGGAGAGAAGGGTGTGGGGATAGGGAAAAGACTCTGATTTTAAACTGTTAATAAAATTAATAATTAAAAGCACAAGTTAGAATCGAGGAAATATGTTGATTAGGTAGACTTGGTGAAGAATGGTTAGATCTGTTTTGGCAAAGTGAGGCCTGGTGAAGCACAAGAAAATAGGATATTCCTTGTTTGGGAGCTTTGCCAAACGAGGCTATGCCTCTGTACCTCTCAACATTGAATCTTATGTTTATTTTCATCCAGACTCATGACTTGAAATATTCCTGTGTGCTAATGATTTCCAAACTTGACTTCTTCCTAGAACTCTCTTTCTTTGTGATATTAGAGTCAATCAGTAGGTTGGGGTATTAGTATTATTACACATTTGGGGAGATCATTTTAGATAAGATGCCAAACTGAAATTAACTTGGACTACTAATAGTGAAATTTAGCCTGGAAAAGTAGAGAAAACCAGACAGGTTAACTTCATACTTATCCACACATAACAAGATTCAGGATAGGAATTGCTGAGTCTCCTGTCTCTTCATTTAAACCTTGTATTGCCAGTTTTATCGATCATATCCCAATTGATTATAAAACGTGCTAATTTCCAGGTTTTTTTCTGCATTCCTCAGCACAACATCTTTTATTCCAAAAACCCTGAGTGCCTACAAAAATGCCACCTACTGCCTGGTTCTGGCAATTGCACAATTACTAAAATACCCTTTCCTTCAAGATTTCAGTTTTGTGGAACCATTTGTAATCTAAATCTCCAGTTTTAGAGGCATCATTTGAGAACTCCATTTTTCAAAATCAGGAAAACTTGCAAGCGTGTTTTGGATGATAATTTTGTAAACAAGAAGACCCACTATCACTGGCTAGAGTACCTTTTTACTCTTTTAAAAAGCTCTTTCTGCTCCTTTCTCCAGCATACGCTGTAGTCAGAGAAGCTCATGCATTTTGTTAAATGATTTAGAAAACAACCTGAGTTTCTGAGAATGTTTATTAACGTGAGTATTTTAAGAAATGAGGGTGTCACTTTGCTTAAAGTGGAGTGTTTTAACATAAATCTTAAAAAGCAACTTATTAGTATACCGTCTGGGGGGTAAAATACCGATAACATAAAATTTACCATTTTAAGTTATTTTTAAGTGTACAGTTCAGTGGCTTTACATACATTTATTTGCATTGTGCAACCATCACCACCATCTATCTCCAGAACTTTCTCATCTTCTCAAGCTGAAACTTAGTATACCTTTTTATGAAGTGGCTCTAAATAGAGAACAAAAGATTCTTCCAATTACTTTCCTAATTAATGTCCTTCTAGGGAAAAAAATTATCTTTTATCTCTAGCATTAAGTCACTTGCATAATATCTTACTTGTCTGATGTTTTCTTAGACCTTTAGTAATTATAAATTCTCCTTGAATTTTTCTGCCATTTAATGGAATAGCAAGGGACAATATTAGGCACTGAGTATGACTTTGGTTTTGAGTTTTGTAGTTTATTAAAACTAAAAAACATTGCAGGTAAAATCACAATAATTTTAGATCTACAAAAGGAAGAATAATATTCTTGATCTCTGAAGGAATAGTGGGATTATGTCGCCAAGACCTGGGGTCATATAGGATCAGGCTGGTGGAACCAGAAGCTTGGACCAGGGCAGAGCCAAGCACATGTCAATGCCTGATAAACTGAAGATGTAGAAGAAATAAAGATTAGGAGCCGAGATTTTTCCTTGGTACAGCATAGGCCAAAGATCTAGGAAACAAAGAACACTAATATAGGAAGGATGAACCAAGTCTGAGGGGCAAAGCACACAAAGATACCCACCCCTCCCCCCAAAAAAATTAAAAGGAGTAAAATACAGCAGGACCTCAGCTGATTGATTCTGATCTTGTAGCAGAGCATCTGTTCTATTTCCTGTATGTAAGTAAAGTGGGCTCTTGATCTAGATTTCAAAGTGTAGGAGAGTGACTGCAACCCATTAAGTGAAGGGAGCTAAGAACCAGAACTACAAGTGGAATCCCCAGTCAGCATATAAAAAAATACATTGGGGGATGCCTGGGTGGCTCAGTTGGTTAAGCCACTGACTCTTGATCTCAGCTTAGGTCTTGATCTCAGGGTCATGGGTTTATGCCCTGCATTGGGCTCCACCCTCGGTGTGGAGCCTACTTAAAAATTAAAAAAAAAAAAAAAAAAATACATTGGAACAGCTCTCTGTTAACAAATGCTTTTCTGAAGCCTCTGAATTTTTCTTGGATATGCAAATACAAATGAGGAAGTCAAACCCATAGCCCATAATAGTTTCTATTAAGAATCAAGTTGCAAAGGAAAGAAAATTAGGGTTTGCTTTAAGAAAATTAACAAAATCATCAAAAATTATTTAATGCTTAAAGAAGGTAGCAGTAGGTGACTAGAAGCTTTTAGAAGCTTCACTGTATTCTGTATTTTAAGTATATCTTCACTGACCAGAATTGGATATGTTTGTGAGATGCGGCTGCAGAGCTGTTAGAAGTTCTTTGAAATTCCTGCAAATCTAAAAAGCCAAGCCCGGTTTCTAGTTACATTTGTTAGACAGCATACTGCCCCAGTTCCATATTGCATTACTACTGAGGAAGTATCAATATAACAAAGATATTCCAGTCTTTATTGAAATCATATGAATCTATGAAAGTTATCAATTACATGTGGTAACAGAAATAGATTGTTTCTTCAAAAACTAAAAAGGTGTACTAAGCAAATTGGTACCTCTTTTCTTTTTAATTGGTATCTCTTAAAATTTTTCTGTTAAAAAGAATTAATACTTTTCTTTAAAGCACTTTTGTACTTTAATATATTGTTGTATATTAAAAATGGGCATGATAAACGAAAAGAATAATATATCATAAACAAGTGAGTTTATCCCAAGAATGTATTGTTGAACATTATAAAATCAATGTAATTCACCATGTTAAGTAAAAAGAAAAACTATGTTATTATCTAAATAGACCAGAAGAAGCTTTTGACAACATCCAACCTCTCTTCCTGATAATAACTCTCGTCAGACTAGAAGGGAACACTCTCAACCTGATAAAGGGCATCTGTGAAAAATCTACAGCTAACCTCAACAGTGAAAGACTGGGTTCTTTTCCCTAAGATCAGAAACAGCAAGGATGTGCACTCATCGCTACTACCCAGCATCATGATATAGCTTCTGGCCTGTACGATATGGCAAGAGAAAGAGGAAGAGGGAGGCATTTCAATTAGGAACAGATGAATAGATAAATAAATTGTGACTTATTTTTATAATGGAATACTACTTGGCAAATAAATGGAAAGAAGTATTTGCACAACAGCATGTATAAATTATACTAAGTGAAAGAAACCATATTTAAAAAGACTGTATATTATATAATTTCACCTATCTAAAAACAGAAAATGCAGACTAACTTGTAGTGACAGAAAATAGGTCTCTGGCAGCTGAGTGAGTAGAGGGGTTAGGGAGGAGGAGGATTACAAATGGGCAGGAGGAAACATCTAGGGGCGACAGATATGTCTACCATCTTGATTGTAAGTGGCAGTTTCATGTCTGTATACGTCATATTTATGTAATTATATACTTTAAATACGTACAGTTTATTGTGTATGAATTCTATTTCTATAAAGCTGTTTTTTGAAAAATGGCCACAAGTTCTTTGACCCTCATTCCATGAGAGGTCTGATCTGTATTGTCTGCCTTTGAGTCTGGGTGGGCTGACAGCTTTGACCAATAGAATATGACAGAAGTGACACCATGTCCGTTTCAGATCCAGGACTTAAGAAACTACTTTCTGTCTCTTGGCATGCTTGGTCTGGGAGAAGCTAACCATCATGTATGCAGTCTGACTACCTTGAGATTATCAAACTGTCAGGAACTCCCAGCTATCCTATGGAGAGCAAGATGCCCAACCAGGCTATAACTGTTATTGCCATCCTAGTCCAGGCACTAGACATGTGAGTGAAGTAGACATCTGAAATGCCTAGTCCAGTCAAGCCTTTCTTACAAATGACATTGCTTGAGCATTCATGTACAGATTTTTGTGTTAACCTAAGTTCTCATTTCTTTGTGATAATATTCACAAATTGCTGGGTCATATGGTAAGTGCATTTTTAGTTTTATGGAAATGCCAAACTGTTTTCCAGAGTGTCTGTAGCATTTTGCATTTATACAAACAATATAAGAGGTAATCCAATTTCTTTGCATCCTCACTTGCATTTGGTATTATCACTATTTTTATTTTAGCCATTCTGTTAATTGTGTAGTGATATATCATTGGGTTTTAATTTCCATTTCCCTCATGATGTTGAACGATTATTGTTTATGTGTTTATTTGCCATTTAAATATTATCTTTTGATGAAATGTCTGTTCATGTCTCTTGCCCATTTTTAATTGTATTTTTTGTATACTGTCATTTTGAGTGTTTTTTATGTATTTTAGATATAAGCCTTTTGTCGTATATGTGGTTTGCAAATATTTTC